CTGCGAGGCGGCCGCTCCTGCACGGCCCCCAGCCCCTGCGAGGCTGGACCCAGGCGAGGTGGCAGCGACACGTCCCAACAGCCGAGGACGGCTCTCCGGAGACCGTGGCCCGCTTCACCTCCTTCGGGTGGAAGCAGCTTGACGCACAGGCCAGAGGGGCTGGGCAGGGGCTGAAACCACTGCAGCACCGGATCCATTCACCACTCGTGCCATCATGTTAATTTAGGGCCTTGTGTTTTCATTCTCACTTCCAGCCAGGCAATAATTGCCCTTTCCCTGCAGGTCTCACAACAGCCTCAGATCAGGATCCAAGAAACCTGTGCAGGAGATGACCCATTTTTTCTGTGCTGCAGTTTTGCCTTCCCTGCTCTCGGAAGGTGGGGATCCTGCCAGGCGCCTCTCCCGCAGACCGCACAGCCCCGAGCCTGCTGCTCAGGACAGGGCTCCCCTCCCTCGCCAAGGGGAACAAGTCTGGGATTTTACACAACTCTTATCCAGAGCACTTTGCAGCAGCGAGGGCTCGGGGACTGTAAACAGAGCAGGGAACCGAGGGGCAGAGCAGTCATGGAAAAGGACCTTGCCCTACGCAGGAACTGTGTTTCAGCATGTTTTTGAGCCCTGTTTAAGGGAAGGGAAGCAGTATCAGCCCTGTTGGTGACCATAATGACAGCAGCAACACCTTGGAAGGCCACGCAAACCACCACGTCGCAGGCAGGTACAACAGAGGACACGCGCCAGGACTGAACGCTTGCATCGGAGTCAGCTGCAGCTTGACGTATGTTGTTCTCTGATTACTCCCCACAATTCAGGAGTCAGCACGGGTTACTGGAGCTGCATTCCTCCTTGGGCTGGGGCAGATGCAGTCCACTGCCTACCAGCGATCTCTTCAGTCCTGCGTAGATGTAAAACATTTTTTCCCCAACCTTTCACTGGAGCGGTTTCTGTAACAGACACCTAACGCTGCCTGCCTGTGCCACCGACACAGCCCTGGCACCTTCCTACACTGTAGTAACTGGCGTGGCCTCTCAGGGGAAGCAAAGCCGTCCTCCCAGGCTGAGCATCCTTGTGCGTCCCGGGGTGGATGCCAGCACTTCGCTGCTCAGCGCGCCAGACGGTGCCGAGGGAGCTGCTCCTGGACTCAAATAACCTTCCGCACGGATCCGCCGCCAGAAACCGTGACTCGGTGCGGGAGCAGGGGAATTCACTGGCTCACTGCAGCGGCTTTGCAGCCCGAGAGTCAGCATCCAAGTTACAAGAATTTCCTCAAAAGAGCAGCAGCGACAGAGCCGCACAAGCTCAGCCCTGCAGAGCGCCGGTCCAGCTGCCCTGCTTTACCACGGGCAGTCAAGATACAAAAAGGACTTTCCCACGTTACAAGGAGCGCCAAGACCAGCATCAGGCTCGCACCTTCAGCCCCGCAGACAGGGCTGTGTCTCCCTGTCTGCTCGGCCATGCCTATGGCAACACGCACCGTGCCAGACGTGAGGCCTCAAGGAAACACAAACATTTTTCTGCTGCTACCTTTCATACTTTCCCTGGGCTGAACACAGAGCTCTCAGACAATTCGCACTGCCTTCAACATCATGACCTTGACAGACTATTTTATACATAGAAAAATAATTCTGTGCCAAAAGGTTAGGAGAGTGAAAAAGCAGAGTTCTGATGTCAGTTATTAGGGATTCCACAGACTAGGAGGCAAACCCCCCAAAGCTCTGGGGTTTACCTGTATAAAGGCAGGCATTAAAGAAAGACCCAGACCTACCTCCCACATCCAAGTCCACTTTGTAGTTGATGGAATGGGTGTGTATCGTACCCAGCGTGTGCTCCCAAACCCTATTGCCGTATCTCAGACCATCGCCATGGAGAAAGGATGAGCTCAGGTACCCCGTGGCCTGGACCTTGCCTTCGATGGCCCCGTTCTGGTAGAAGATGAAGTCCCACACGTAGTCGTAGTTGCCCACGGTTGCAATGGACCGAACGACCAGAGCAGAGTTGACCAGGCCCCCGTAGTAGAGCGACTGCAAGTTGGAGTAGTGGCGCCTCAGAGGGGAGCCCAGGTTCTGCTCAAAAATGCAGAGTGAAGCCTTTCTCTTGCTGGGGCTCAGGGTCTCAGACAGAGAGTGTGTGTCAACATAGGGACCCAGACCTACCTCCCACATCCAAGTCCACTTTGTAGTTGAATAAATGGGTGCGTATCGTACCCAGCGTGTGCTCCCAAACCCTATTGCCGTATCTCAGACCATCGCCATGGAGAAAGGATGAGCTCAGGTACCCCGTGGCCTGGACCTTGCCTTCGATGGCCCCGTTCTGGTAGAAGATGAAGTCCCACACGTAGTCGTAGTTGCCCACGGTTGCAATGGACCGAACGACCAGAGCAGAGTTGACCAGGCCCCCGTAGTAGAGCGACTGCAAGTTGGAGTAGTGGCGCCTCAGAGGGGAGCCCAGGTTCTGCTCAAAAATGCAGAGTGAAGCCTTTCTCTTGCTGGGGCTCAGGGTCTCAGACAGAGTGTGTGTGTCAACATAGGTGGCCGAGTATGGGCAGTCGACCCCTCGCACCAAGGGGGAGGTGTAGCGCCCGATGCCAAAGCTCCCGTCCATGTACCTCGTTGACATCCCTCCGGGGCAGTTGGAGCCATACACTGACAACGCTTCTTGGACACTGATTTCATAGGCAACCCTCTCCCCCTTGTGTCGGATGTCAAACAGGCGCAGGCCCGTGCTCACGCTCATCCCAAAGGCAAAGCTCCATGCCTGGAAGAGGACGTGGTTGTTCCTAGCGGGGACCCTGGGGCTCGTACTGCAAAGGGAACAGCGCAGCCGAGGGCGCTCGGGGCTTCATGGACGAGAAGTCCCCATCCCACGGCGCTTTCCTCACCTTCTCCACGCTGACGCGACCCTGCACATAGGCGCTCTCCAGCTGAACCATGTCCCTGTAGTACTGCCCGTTGTAGAAGACCCTGCTCACTGCCCACCGGGAGATGTCCAGGCTGCTGTGGTCCACCAGCACCTCCAGCCCCACCGGGTGCACAAAGAACCCGCTCACGTTCTGAAACAAAGCGAACCAAGTGATCCGATCTCCAGACTGGAATCCACGGGGAGCTGCTGTCAGGGCCGCCAGGTTGGCTCGACTCACAGCAAGCGACGAGGAAGCGCGGTGCCTTTCTCAGCTCTTGCTGGATGAGGGCGTGGATATCCATGTACTCCTTGCCGGTAACAGGTCTGCGGTGGTACGGCACCTTCCCCCCGTACTTCTGCACCGTGACGTCCCGGTGATACGCCGGCGTCGGCAGCGGACCCACCACGTACTCGGTGATGTTGGGGTCTGGCTGGTTCCCAAAGTAGAGCACAGCCAGCGCCTCCCGGGAGGGCTGAGCCCCCCCGCCATCCAGGAACCGCAGCACCTCTGCCTTGCCGGGGACCTGCACGTCGACGGAGGCGATGCAGTTGTCGGAGGGCTTCGCACGCGAGGCGTCGACCAGCTGCACCCCGAGGTTTGCCTGCAGGTACCGCACCACCTGCACCATCTCTTCAGGCGTCAGGTCAGCAAAGACCAGGCTGCGGCCGCCATCGGTGTCCTCCTGCTCCGGGGGCTGGTGCTGGCAGGTGCTGGGGGCCCTTCCCCTGGTCAGCAGCACACAGACCAAAGCAAATATCGTGGCTAAAGCCAGAACGAGGAGGATGAGCACGGTTTTCATGTGCATGCTGCTGCTGGCCCTGAGGCATTCACACCGGCTTTCAGAGTAGGGTTTCTAGCTGCTGCCTCTGTCAGTTTACGCTGCACTGGATGGATTACCACGGAAAGTACAAAAGACTGGGAGAGGCTAGGGGAGGAGATCTGAAATTCGTGGTGACCAGAAAGGGCAGATCTCCTCTCTCAGCTGCAGCCTCCTCCGTCCTCCTCCACGAGCAGTGCCCTGAAAGAACTAGTGGAGATGCAGGGTCAGTGAGTCAGACAAGTTCCACATAATTCTGTTACTTTTTCAGTCCAACCTAGCTTCCTGAGGCTGCCTGTAAAAACGAAGCTCCTGTAGTCAGACTGAGGTGGCTGGGACTACTGCTGTGCTCTGACAAGCTGGGAATTGTTGCCACACGGTAGAATTTCACCTCTGCAACTCACCGAATATCCTTGTTTATCAGCCTGCTTCCTTGTAAACATTCTCCCTGGCAGCATGATTCCAAGCTTGGAGTTACTATTCATTTTATTTTTTTTAAATCTTCCACATGGATGTGTTTTCAGCAAAGGGTTCCATCGGTGTAGCAGCATCAAAACTTCAGCAGGCATGGGGAGATGCAGTTCAGGATGATATTCATGCCCCGATGTGCTGTGAACAACTAGCTCTCAGTTCGCACCTCCGAACAGCAACGAAGTAATAAATTCCCCAGCGTTTCATCTCTGCCTCCCGTTCAAACAGAAACCGAGGTGCAGGCTCTGAGAAGTTCCCTCCAAGCACAAAACCCCCCCAGCCTGCGGCATCCACGCAGGCAGCCGAGGCAGCGCCCGCTCTCGCTGTGCTGCCAGGCCACCGTTGCCCTGGCTGAGCAGCCACCTCCAGGGCTTTGGGACAATGGCCTGCTGCCATCCCCACCAAAGGCGTCTCTGCTGGTCTCACCGCGCTGTTGAAAGGCCTTGGCAGAATGAGGCGGCCACACGACAGGACTCGGGGCTCCACGCGGCAGATGCCTGGGGTAGACAAGACACAACCGCTCCAGCTACAACCCCTGCCTGTCCCGGAGCTGGTGCTGAGAAGCACAAAGCATCCAAGAGAACCAGGGCTGGAGATTCAACCCAACATTTCCACTCCTGCTGCCAGCCTCACCTCACCTCACCCTGGCCTCTCTTCCTCCTCCTGTCAGAGTTTCCTGGTGGGAGGCAGCCCTCCCCAGCCTCGCCACTGCCTCCAGTTCTTCCTCTGCAGCGGAGCTTGCCCTGGGCTCAGCCCCTCCGCTGTCCTCCGGCCATGCTCACCAGACACCACCCTGGTAGGCAGAAGGCCACGTTGTCAGAGGACACACACCATTATCCTCACCACCACTGGCAGCCTCAGCCTTCTTTAGCCCCGGCTGCAGCTGTGCAGGTCTGGGACACGCACGTCCACTCCGTGCCAGCATGCGTCATCTCTGCCTCGCTGGCCGTTGTGCCAGCAAAGCCTGGAGAGCCACAGCAGTCAATTCACGAGCCCGCTGGGCCACCAGAGGGGATCACTCTGTGGCACAGACACAGGCAATGGGGAGAGCCAGGGCAGATGAGAAGAGAGCCCCGGCAACATGGGATGCGACAGCCACCTTGCTCTCACCGACTTTCAGCTGGTCTCCAGGGGCAGGATCAGATGCCTCTGAGCAGCTCCCAACTGCGAAGAAGTGCTGACTTCCAAGTCAGTCTTTCAATCCATGAAGTCAACAAGGCTTTGAGGATTACTTGGGGTTAGGCTCGAAAGGAAAATTCCCTTTTGGTGTCAGCCTAGAACATGGCATCTGTTTCGCTCAGCGAGCACTGGTGCCTCGGGTAGGGTTTAGAGCAGAGGCAGGACATACCTCCTGCCTCCCAGGAATTCAACAAGCGGTCTGCTGCACCACGCACCTGCGCAGCTGGGACTGCTCCACGACCCTCTGAGGCTGCACGCAATGCTCACGCCGACATCTCCTTACAGAACTACAAAAAGAGCAGCTCATTCAGTTTTGACTTCGCCTCTTGGTTTTGCATCCCAAGTCCCTAAAAGTCAAGGCAGAGGCTGCAATTACAGAATGTCATTTTCTAAGCGGCACAGCAGTAGTTTCAGAGACCTGGACAAACTCCACAGGCCTTACTGCCCCACAAATCACAACTCAACCCTGCCGCTTGCCTCGGAGATGTCTGAAAATAAAATGTGGGAGCATTCTGAGTTCTGTGCATGCTGGACGTTTGGAAAAAAGAAAAGAGAAACCCTAACCTGTAATGACATCCCCACGACAAACAAGCTACCGCACACCCCCCCGGTCTGCGGGGTACAGATGGCACGAAGGAAGCCGCCTGTGCTGCCTCTGCCCCGCTACAGGACGTGTGCCGTGGATGCCATGTCTAACACCACGGTATTTAATACCATCCATTTCTGCTGCATTTTACAGGCTGAGGGCTTTTAGAGCTTATTACAAGCAACAGGAGGATCAGCCCGCGCTTTCTGGGAGCTCCGCTTCAGAATAAACAGAACAGCTCTAAATCCCCCCTCTATCTTGCAGCGGGAATTTCAGGAAGCAGAGGAATTAACTGAGCCTGCAGAGCCAGGAAACCTGTGTCAATACCTCACCGGCGAAAAGCCGTCAGGGATCTTTCAGGGCCACACACCCCACCGAGCTGCTTGTGCACCTTCTCCAAAAGAAGCCTGAAGCAGCTTAAAGCTAACCTAGAATTTTAAAAATTACACGTCTCACTAACAGCAGCGTAACTGGTTTATGACCCGCTTGGCGCACACACCTCTTCCCCCCGCCCCGCTCCCCAGTCCGATTAAGCCCACCACCACGTCCCGCACCCCACGGGGAGACTTCACACCCCGCCAACGCTTATTTTGGCTGCGTGGGTGCTGTTGGGTACTGCCCACCG